CAACAGACTAAATATTTAGTATGAAACATACAGCTTAATTGTGTATATTTGCACATTCAAATCTAAAATGAAATAACCAGTAACATGATGATTCTCCTAAAAACTTAAAAAATAAGATTCAAATAACTGTTGTTATATTAAACGAGTGCCAATAAATGAATGACTTCAGCAATAAGTGAATTGTCAAATTCTCTTTCATGGAGTAACCTCAGCTAATCACAGGCCATATGTTAATCCTACATTTTACTTGGAATGACATCAAATGATATGCATAGACAAAACTATAAAATATTTTACACTGATTGCTTTCAGAATGAAACAAATTAAAACGAACAAAAGGTGTTGTAACTGGAAAATAAAGGACATCTTCCTTTGGAAAGTTAATTCCACAAAGGTCATATGATCATAAGGCAATTGTAACAGTTGTAACAAAATAATTTAAAAGCTTTCATTACTCAGTAAACTGGCTTATGTGACCAGATGTGAAACCTCGCTTGACTTTTAAGTGTTACCATATGTAAATTTTTCATGAGAATTAGAACAATTACAATCTATTAATGATTGATCGGTGAGCTTGGGTAAAAAAGTATCAATACCATCAGAGCAAAAACCATCAATATCACAATGCTAATGGAGTCTATGGCTTTAGACAGGATGCCATATAGCCTGAGTATATCTATGCACTAATAATGATTTGAAGACATATTGTTTTTGCATCAGCTGGTGGTGCTGTGTTTGCAACAGTAAAAAAACCAACTGAGCCACCAATAGCATAAATCTAATAAACACAACATACAGGTTATTTTTCCATTGAACTGGTCATGTCTCAACAACAGATGTCCAGAAATCATCAAGAAATGTATCACTACCTTCCTTCAAATCACTGAGGAATGCCCTGACACAATATCAAAATAGGAGTACTTACAAAGACACTTGTACCTACATTATAGTTGTCATTTACAATTCAACATGTTCAAGTTTGCAGGTTGTTCAGCCTTTGAGCCGAAAGTGGAAGATAAACGTCAACATTTCAAGATAACCTTCACAGGAGCAAGCATACACTTTTACCATTCTTAAAACTGCTTGCACAGTCACCTGCATCTTCAGAATGTTAAGCCTAAAGGCAATAGTTCCTAAAGAGAGACCCTAATGTGAACGCTTCTATAGAAGAATAGACTCTCATAAGTTTGGCCAAAAACACAGAAACTTAAGCAAGAATAGTTTCACACCATTTTACAAAGCATTATTCAAGCAATATCATGGCAGGGGACATCAGAAGTTACTAGTAGGTTTCACATTTTACCCATGTGGAGAATCAAACTTGCTTTAACCATAAGGCTATCCTACTGCCCCTAAAACCCATAGAGGATACAATGACACAACATCTATCTATATACACTAGTCATGATGCGTTACATATCTTGATACACCAATGATACAACAAAAAGGCCATGGACCCAGACATTTTCGCATTTTGGATGCGTGAAAAATGTTTGTTGCTTGTTAATGATCTTGAGTCCATCATAAAAAGAAAGCAACTGGAAACCAAATAATACCACACTACAGGTCCCTATGTTTCAACACTCATGCATTGTACTGAAGACCATGTATAAGATTTTCAGATTACTTTTTACAACTTAATAACAAACAGTAATCAACATGAAATAGTTCCATGGCTACACAGAATGAGAAAAACTGAACTGTATACATAGTTTCCCATACCTTGTGTTTATTGTCAACAACATTACAGGAGAACAGGTTTTAACCATGCTTTAGCATGTCATAGCAGGGTACCAAGAAGTGAATGGGAATCAAACACTTGTCCAGGTCATCACAAGCAAATGCTGAAACGGCTTGATTACCTTAAATGACCCATCATCTATTCAGCAGTGCTGTTCAGAGTTGTTATATGCCTGATTGACAGTAAACACCCACCCCTCTCTAGAGACAATAACATAGTTTATGATTACTTAGAAAATATACTACACATCTCATTACATATTTTCAGAATTATTAAGAATAGCATGCTAAATAAATATAGTGTTAAGTAAAAACAGTAATAAACTGTTACATAGAGTAGTCATGGATCTACTTTCAACGGCATCATCAATACTCATCCTTTTACAATATTGGCAACAAATCACTGAAACTGAAACTTTCTGTCATAAATACACATGTAATAACTGCTTTCACTTAACAGGATCACCAGAGAAGAGATTTTTAGTTTAATTTATGTATTTGTTGATATGGCAATCAATCATAATTTCTTTATACTCCAATATCACTCTGGCCAGAAGTGAAAATAATACCTAGCAGAAACATTTCCTACAATTTGAGCTTCATAAAATATAAAACTGTTAAAAATAGCAAATATCTCATGTAAATTTTCTACATGAAATTATGTCATGGCAGCATGAAAACAATGTCAATAATTATGAACACTTCTTGATTGGCCTGACACCTATCCCAAACAGATGAATGTGAATCCTTCCTGACAATCTTGTGTTACATCACCTTTTCCAAATATCAGGTATTACATTGAAGACCAAGAAGCTTGTGATAAAGTGCATGCCTGTACTATCACTATTCAGTCTAGGTACTTTCATAACTAAGTGTATAGGACAGGAGCTAGTACCATTGAAGTGTTTTCTGAAAAACAGTATGGAGCACTATGAATCAAGTTATTTCCCCTCTTTGCCATGAGGCACTTATCAGACAAGAAACAAATGAACCCACTGTAATGTGTGGTACACTCTGCAATTCACAACAACCTGCCTAATGATCCTGCATCTAGACAAAACTTTCAAATTCAAACCAGCACAATCATTCCCGTAAGTTTTTCATATAACAAACACCTGACGAACACCGTATTATTCACATACTTCCGACTTTCCTATTTGTTGGGGTCCCTTGTATACAAACATGTCTTCTTCAAAATGTTGTGTGCAACATCTCCCTTTCAATGACATTACCAACTGCTGCTCCTTTCGTTCAACATTAAAATAAAAATACTTGTATTGTGCACCTGGTATGTTTTGACCAGTCCTGATTTTGAAACACCACCTGCTTACAAATGACATTCAATGGACACCTTCTGACATAACCTTTCTCATCAGTTGTGATTTGCTTTCCTACTGGAGTGAGTTAAGATTTACAGTCACATTGGCCATATTTCAGCCATATCGTGACTTTTTTCCTACTGGAACTGAAGGGGGAGTGAATGAGTGAGTTGAGTTTATGCTGCTTTAACTTTTTAAGCAATATTCCAGCAATATCACGACAGTGGACACCCGAAACTGAAGGTAGTCAGTTTAGGCATTCAGTAATCCAGACAGTTTGTAAGAGTGTGATAATTATGAGATTTGTGAGTACACCCTCCATTTTCAGACTCATGTTTAAAGTGTTTTTGCATATCACCTTTTAGGGAAGTATGAAGGCACAAACAAGCGAAAAAGATAAGTACTCACTTCCCTACACTCATTTCCTATAAAGTTTTGAAAACAAATATAGTGGAGACCATGCATGATGACAACACATCTTAAGTGAGTAATGCTTATTCACAAAGCTTCACATTACATACTAACAGAAGCCACATTACTCAAGTTGTGACAAAATGCCAACTTTTATGTTGATTCATCTGCTTACCACCAGAACTGCTGAAAACTACTACATACTCATTCACACATCATGACCAAATGATGCTGGTAATAACTATTTCATATCCATAACATTACATGTATTATTTCATACTGATTTTTCCCCACAAAAACTGGGTCTGAACAGGTTGTGAAAATGCAACTTTGTTCAAAGATATCATTTTCCAGTCACAAATCATAGAGAAATAAGAAAGTTTTGCCATCAAAAGATGAAAGGATGTCATCAAGCATTATTCTATGGCTTCCAGACATATGTATCATGAGAATTACAAAGTGCTACCAGTGGATTGAAACCCAACATGTACCATGAAATTCTCATAGCACAAAAATGATTTCTTATTAATAATGTGCTATTTTAACTTTGAAAACTGATTATTGGGCACAAAAATGAATTCATAACATCAGCTTCCACAAGGGTTAAAGATAAAAAGAACTCCAAAACATTCCACAAAAATATTCACAGATAATAAAACAGAATTTGGAAGGGTTAATACACAAGCTTTTAATGACACTAGAGGATTCATACACTGTGCATGTTGTATCTCACAACAGCACCAAATCTTCAGTAAGATAGGAAAGTTCAAGGTCATCCAAGTATGCTTTCATGCCATATTATAAACTATCAAATTATAAATTTAATCAAACATGTTCAAAAATAAAGTTTTGACTCTGGGGAAACATGGTAAAATACCATCAGGAATTAGTAATTTCATTGAGGCGACATGATACATAACATAGGTCATGATATGATATGCATATTCACGTTAAATCATGTGAAAATGTCTTCACTATCAATTTTTCAGTGCAGGTTTGTAAGGACAAGCTGGTGGAAGGAACATTAGTAGTAGCCTCTATTTTCAGCGAACATGAAATACTCATTACAGAACATTTTTAATATTTGACTGACAAAGTCGCTGGAGGGTCATTGAAAGAGCAGCAAGTAACTTATTTAAGTAAATGTATCATCTTGTATCGATGCAGAAGCAAACAAACAAGTATGTGCATTGTATTGTTGCATGAAACCCCACAATGCACCACTGCAACAATGTACCCTATCACCCCCAAAACACACTACGTCAACCTTGCTTGATCACCTTCAACAGGAGAGCACAGTTTTCATTCAGTGACCTAACTGAATCATCTCACAAGAACAATAAACGTTCTGCAAAGTTGGGAGTCTGTTTTGAAGAAATGTCCAAATATCGAAGATGTTAATATGTCTAATAACAAAATTCCCTAATTTCATGGTGTAGTGTGGTTAAATATAGGCTTTAGATGACACCTACATTAAATCCTGAACAGGAAGAACTAATGTAACCAGCTAAGACATGGCAATGCCCCTACCTGTACAAACTGCTGTTGTACCCTCTGTGGTGATGACACTGATAAAGACCCTTGAGGTGTTTTAGGTGGTGTTGGCGACAACTGGGGCATAGTTGGTGGCATCTGTGTTGGCTGGGTCATGGCCTGTGGGCCCTGGATGGGCACCGCCTGTGGTGATGGGGACAGTTGTTGTTGCTGCTGCTGTTGTTGCAGCTGAGGCTGTGGCATTCTAGGACGGGGCCCTGGCATCCCACGGACAGCTTGGCCTTGGGGACCTCGCATTGGACCAGGGGCTCCAGCTCCTGTATGCATTTGTTGTCTCTGCTGCATCTGCAAGATCTGCTGTTGTTGTTGTGCCTTTAACATCCTCACTCTTTCCTGAAGGTCCAGCATCTGCTGTTGGATCTGTTGGGTCTGAGGCATGCTGTACAACTGCTGAATCTGCTGCTGCAGTCTTTGTATCTCCATATTTACATTCTGCTGGTTTGGTATCATACCATGACTAGGACTAAGAGGGCCAGCAGCATTTGGGTGTCCTGTGTTCACCGCCATTCCCATGGTTGGGTGCATTGTGTTTCCTGACAAGATTCCAGTGGTGGATGGTGCTGTTGTTGTTTGAAAGTTACTACTACTATACACAGGTGGCTTCTGTGCAATACTCATTCCCATGGTTGATGTTGGAGCACTTTGCATCACTCTTTGAAAAGGGTTTGTGTTGGACAAACTGCCCATCTGAGGAACTAGCTGTTCTAACTGCTGAAGGCTTGACTGACCAAAATTTCCCTGAGATGAGGAGGAATGAGTTGGAGTATGAGATGGCGGTGTTGGGGTGGGTCTTGGTGAAGGGGTTGTTGCTCTCTGTGGTGGCATTCCTGGAAAGGGGGTTCTATAAGACATATTACTTGTGGGACTCTGATTAGGATAATGTGCTAATGACGATGACTCTCCCATGCCCTGAGATAACTGTTGTTGGGTCTGCTGTTGACCAGCTGTATAGGAATAGTGTTGAAGTTTATTTTGAGGTGTGGTCCCTGAGTTAACTTGTGGTCCTTGTGTCATATAATCAGCGGGATACCTTGGCTGCATTCCCGATGACTGTTGGGCAACATTGAAATTGGACATTCCCATAACAGGCTGCTGGCTAGAAACTGGATTGCTCTGCTGAAAGGGTTGAGCAGGGCTTACTCCTTGGGCCATGGACACTCTGCTTCCTTGAGGAGGGGAAGCCATGCCCTGCATAAAAGCATTGCTTTGTACACTCTGCGCAGCTCCATCTTGGTAGTGTCCAAGACGTGAACCTTGCTGGCATGCATTGGGCATAGCATAGTCATGCTGGGGTATGTAAGGGGACATTTGTGATGTGGTATTGCTCATAGGTTGCTGCTGCTGCTGGGGCGGCTGCTGCTGCTGCGTCGGCTGAGACATGTACTGAGGGTGTGTTGGACTTGTCTGGTTGTGATTCCATACCGAGTTCTGAACCATTCCCATTTGTTGTTGCTGAGGATTCGGTAATCGAGGCCCAGGGGACATGCCAAAGTTCTGATACCCACTAGATGGATGTTGCATCATTGTCCCTCCTGAAGGTGGACTATTGTACTGTTGCTGCTGCTGCTGCTGCTGTCTTGGCAATGCTTGTGCCAACATGTTCTGGTTCTGTCCACCCATCATCATTTGGTCGCTCATGTGGTGAAGCTTGGGTACAGATCCATACTGATTATATCCTTCACGGCCATATTGTTGATTCATCACAGAATTCTGAGGTGCCATGTTCCCAAAATTTTCTTGTGGCAGTCCTCTCATCTGATTATACCCTTGCTGGGTCTGTTGTGACAGTATCATGGCCTCCTGTTGCTGGCCCATGTGAGGCTGCTGCATCCCAGGCATGCCAGAGGCCATCAGGCTCTCTGCCCCTGGCATCACACCACCCAAACCCTGAGAAGGAACCATTTCTGTCGTCCCAGGGTTGGTGAGATCATCCAAGAAGGCCGAATCTGAATCAAACAGGCTCAACATTGGCTCCTCTGCCATTTTTTGCAAGCACCCTTTATGGTGTTCCTAGCCTGTGTCAAACCATGCACTATGTCTTGCTCATATACTTGCCATTGTTTGATGCATGCGAGACAGGAACCAGCAGATCAGTATCCACTAGTACCTGCAACAGGATGAAAAACAGCATTTAACTCCAATGTACTTGCATACTGTATGCTTTATAGACTAAAAATCCAAGAATTATAATATATCTGACCCCTCAAAATTCATTAAATCAGATTTAGTATACTGTCATTCCACATAGCAAAATCAAGTGCAACATTATATTATCTAACACTCTACAAATCAGTGTTGACTTAAATGTGCAACTCATTTGGTAAACATTTATTACAAAAACTTTCTAATTTCTAACTGCATGCAGGGTTAGAACTTAACACAAGCCAGGAGCTTGTACAAATTTCCTCATTGTCTTTATCTTTCAAGAGAATTTTATCTTTACCCAGGTTAATACAGCTCAAGTTTATTTCTAACCCTGTGTGACTGCCACGTGACTAAGTCCTGGGAGAGACATTATCACTAATCCTAAAATTAGCAGAAATCTGGAATAACTTACTGTTTTACCCTAAAACCAAGCTATTTACGAAGAATGCGTGTCTGAGATAAGAAATGGACATTTGGGATTCATCTCATGTCTATTCCTGAAATCTTCATATTTTGTTAATTCTTTTATCTATTTCCTTGACTTACCAACTTTTGAACACTGCTTTTGGAAATGTGAGGATGAAAAGAAACTATGGAATGAAGTAACAAAATGGGTTCATACTGTTCAAGTATCAGTAAACTTTTCATTTGAAAAGGCTTTGTTTGGAATTAAAGGTGAAAATAATAATCCTATAAATGTAATCATCCGTCTAGTCAAACAATATATTCAAGTGTGCTATATGTGCCTCATATCAATTTTGTTAAAAAAAAGAGGTTATTAAGCATTACAATGTTGCCAAATGTCTCCATTTATCAAATGGTACTGAACAAATGTTATAATATTTTTTTAGATTCTGGTCAACGTTACACTTGTTAAGTTAGATTCATACCTATGATACTGTTTACATGTTTACAGATTATGTACCTCATATGAATCATAATGTAGTGCTTGCGGTCTGTTAGTATGATTTTATAATGTATGCCTGTAATGAAAATATTGATAAAAACAAAAGCAACAAAAAAAAAATTATGAATATGACATCAACAATATTTCTTGACCAATTTGATCATCTCAGCTTTTGCATTTATAGTAACTAGCCCTTGTGCCTCTTGAGAGCAGTAAAACTGTTTCTTGGAATGAGAAATGTAAACAATAAAACCCTTATTCATGATTCAAACAGATATATGGTACATTGGTACACATTTTACCTCTCAGATCATTATTTTTATGGATAGTTTAAGACAAAAAGTGCCATGACCTGCACTGAAGCAGGTGACAATTCTTGTGAATACAATTTGTTGTTGGCAGTAGACACTGAGGAACAGAAAAAGGACATTCTAACAATAATAACCCCACCCCACCCCCAAATGTGTTCAGCTTGTTATTAATAGCTTATGAATGATGACTAATAACAGATACTGTGGCAATCAAAGACTATGCAAAACATGATTAAAACCATTCATGAAAACTGATGCAAACTAACTTCAATAAAAAGTAAAATAATATGAACACTTTATCATAGTTTATGTGTCTTGAACTATTGTAGCAACTGCTAAAATACTTTAAACATCAAATCTCCTGCAAAAATAATTTTCACAGTTCAACCATAAAAAAAACGGACCATTTCGGGGGGGACATAAAAACAACATTTTTTCAACTAACTACACGTCTGACTTCAATGGACAGTGTATGAGACATTGTATGTAGGCAAATGGTCATTTAATAACTACAAATATTATTACCATGATTACAAAGAAAGTGCAAATGTAACAACATGGGAAATCCCCATGTAGGTAGAATGTCTTAAAATAGAAACATATGATATGTCACCATTTCTGTGATATATAACAAAGAAAACCATACAAAAGTATATAAACTTAAACATAAACTGTACTAATATGTCATTAAATCTTTAAAAAATACTCCTTTAATTTCAAAAAATAACTTTAATTACACATAATTATGCAAGTTAATCTGAAGACAAATCTATTTTCCCAGAAAATTCAACAAAAGAAATATAACCTTCATTCAAATATAAGTCTGTCACATGGTACCCATCACTCCAATAACACTTTGCAAAGTTAAATTTGTTTTCGATTAGATTAGACTTGCCCAAAGGCCTCAGTGTCAATACTCCCATGCTCTGCATGCATGCAAATATGAACATGGCCATGCCCATGGAGTACTAGTGGTCCAGTGAAATTGACAGTTGTTGTGGGGTCAAAAATTGTAGAAAGGTAACTAGTTGGTAGCGTGAGATCACCCACAAGCATAAATATCAAATTTGTAGGGCACGTAGACAAAGAATCATCATGTCCGACTTAATACCAAGTCGCGGCTGAACAAAAGCACTCAAGTATGTCAGTGTCCCTCGCTCAATAAGGTGCCCGTATCCCCGGTGTTTCAGTGTATTTACAACAGCACGTGTATGGCACGAGAGTGACAACAATGATGCCAACTTACGTCCACAACACTATTTGACAGTCCTATAACACATTCCCATCGTTATTTTATTAAAAGAACTTATAAAAATTAGAACAATGGGAAAAGTTTCCTTTGAACGCCATTTCGCTTGTAGTTTTTGAAGAAATTATCTCGACAGAAGCTCACGAAACCCGGACCATATCCGGGGATAGGGTGGTCACTGGAACTTAACTGGACCAAATGAACTTAAAACGGTACATTTTAACATCATTTAATAAGGTACATTACACTCTCACCTGTCCTTTGCTCGAAAAATTTCACTAATACTCTGTGGATGAATTTGTAGACTTTAGGCCGCTAAACCCTCAACATCTTGCATCGTGTATACACCGAAGGTACTCCAGTGACCTGCTTTCCTATTGGTCAATCTGAGAAACAGAAATCATTGCTTGTTTGCATTTTCATAGAGCAAAATATGCATTAAGACAAAAATATATAACTGCAGCATGTGTCTTGTAACATAACTATTTTATCTGTATACCAATATATTGTGTCATTACAAAAAACACTTACAAATGTCCATTTATTTACTCGAAAGTGGCTTCTATTTTGACCAATCGTCTGTCGTCTTACAAATGCATGATTGCTATTGAAAATATCTGCGCTGGTTAAGAGTCAGCCAATCAGAGTGAAGCTGTAGAGAAGGTGCCCGGATGATGTGCTAAATTTGTTTTTCTAGGCGTCATCTGTCCATAAAAATAATCACACTGTCTTTGTTGAACTGCGCGAATAAGAGACACACTGACGTTATATCTCAATGTATCATAATTGAAACAGCAGTTAGAAAATTACCAGAAACTGTTAAATTATGATTAAAGATAACCGTTGCCCTTTTCAGTTGTTTTCAGATCTTGTAAACCCATGCTCAGAAAATTCCAACCCATAAAGGCCCCAGTGCGTGTCATCACACATCCAGTGCCAAGTCCCCAAGCAGTGTGATCCTGGCCACGCAAATCGACTTGCGAATAGAACCAAAACAACCGTTTCATATCTAATATACTTGCTACTTTTTTATATTATTTGCTGCATTATAAGAAGGTTTTATAAGACCAGCTAAGACCCATGGCTATATGTAGAATTATAACACTTGTGTTTTCTTCTTAAAATCGCTGTGGCTGATTATGTACAAGGTCATTAATACTCCTAAAACTCATCGGCTCGCCCCAAGCTGTATGTATTTCATGTGAATATATTTTTATAAGTTCTATCTTGAAAAAGAAACAATTACCCCAAAATGAAATTATTACAAGTGTGTAACCTAGCTTACCCACTTGTAGAATGAGCTCTATATTATTATACAGAACGTCTCTTAAAGATTATAGTTCATCAGTCGACAGAGTTACATATCTAATTACTTTGATAGACATTTTCAGGAAGGCAGAACATTGTGAGTCTTGTCATCCCTGCTCGAGCCTCTGTGTTCCATTCCGGTGAAACTAAAACACAACGGAATCCAATACACGATTATTCAACGCAGACATTTTATAATGTATATTGAAAGGATAAGTACACGTATAGGGAGAGGCAATAATCTACAAGTGAGTGATGGTATGTTGTTTTACGTCGTATCAGTGATCTACTATGTCATGTGTATGGTGATGCATAATCAGTGGAGTCACCAATATTTATAAACTCGATCCCCGTTTTAGACGGCGCCAGCGAGAATTTTGCGAGTACATGTGAGAATACCAGGCACGGGATTAATATTGGTACGAATTGCCATGCGACTTATACCATTCGGTGAAGCTAATAGAAACATATGTATCTATCACCATTTTATCACTTTTATATATTCATGTATAGGGTACAAATTTGCAAATGTACGGAAGTTTTCCATGATTCAAGTAGGAGTACTGTTTGGGTGAAGAGAAGTGAAATTAGGTTTAGCCATACATCCAAGAATACTTTAATGATTACTTAATGTAGCGACACACAGTATCATAGCTTCGACCCGACCAGTGCTATACTATATACTTACCGAGCGCAAGGGAGGGCAACAAGAGGTATTATTTCTTAACGTCTTTTTGTTGAGCTCTACCTTCGAGCCCATAAAGACGTTGTGTACGGGAATGTTTTGTCGGTCTCACAGTCCCAGAACCATATTATCTCTACCACCCAGGCCTTTTTGTAATGCAGAAGTCGTTAATGAAGCAAGATTTTCCTCAGTTCCAGGGGGATTCTGCGAATCTCCCATCTTACACCTTTTCAATTGAAATGGATTTGTTGTTTCTATCAAAATTTATGTTTGTAGAGCCTAAAGATGGTAAATGTAGTTTTAGATAAAATGTAATTGAGCATGAAACAGTATTTACTTGGTTGTCTTGGGGACCGTTTCACAAAGCGATCGTAGCGCTACGACTGTCGTAAGTCTAAGTATGGGAGTTATGATCACCTTTATAGCGCTACGGTCGCTTTGTGAAACGGGTCCCTGGTGTAGTAGCATGGGTTTCATCACGCCATGTAATGCTATTTTTTTCACTTTATTCAGATTCGATCCAATGTAAAATGTGAAAGTCGTCTGTTCTAGTAAGTGGATGGCACAGTGGACTAAGATGTGCAGAGTTGTGTCCCTTAGCAGCCCAGATCCAACCCGGGTATGATCCATGGTACGTCAGCACCCACCCCGTGCACACGTACCAACTCCAACATGATAAATTTCCCGGCGTGCTGCGATTGGGATTACCTACTACACTACGCCGACACGTCATTAAATATAACTGACATATCTTCTAACCTGTGTAAAACCTATTAAGATGCCTACACTGTCACTTTAGGTACATTTGTACTCCATTTGTAACCTAGAATAGGTATTTCCTATGAATTAAACAATGGTATATGCTATGTGAATAAACGTTGTCTCATATATCTCGAATATATTTCTTCCACAGCGACAGAGATTGACACACTTTATGTAAAGGTTATGGACTCGTACGATCTTGACAGCAATCGTTGACCCCATTCTAAACTGGGAGGCGTTCTCTCACCGCTAAGACTCAGCTCACACTGCCTGAGGCGTTGGATAAGCCAGGATTTTACAATCGCTTCAAATACTGCTGTTTCACTGTCACTTTTCCATTTTGATTAGAGTGAGTGAGTTAATATTTAAAGTCACATCGGCAGTATTTCAGCCATATCGTGACTTAGAAAGTTGTAAATTTATAAATGAATAAAAATATAGTTAGATATTATACTTACTTGTCTGCAAAGGATAGTAAAACAACTACTATAATAGCTCAGAAATATATTTAAATCTAGTAATTAAATCTAAAATGTTTTAACTATAAATGACAATACAATATAAAAACAGACTATATATTGCCAACAACTGAAGGTAGATCACTATACTAGGGACCCATACTAGGGACGGTGCCGGATCAAGGGGAGGCGTTTGTGTGTTGGATGCAGGGTGCAGGGTGTACGGGAGACAACGCCCCACACCATGCCCGTACCCCTTGTCCTGCTTTTTCTTCTTTTTTTAAATGAAAATAGAAAATCACCTATGGCCGGAATGGCTAAATCAATTTTTTCATCTTTGTCACATGCACATGTATGTATATATGTATGCATGCATGCATGCATGTATGCATGTATGCATGTATGTATGTGTCCGTGTGTATATGCTAAAGCAAAATATGCATGCATGCGAGCGAGCGAGCGTAGTGCGTGCGTGCGTGCGAGCGTGACATATATGAAACCATATATTTGACACACACTGCAATGCAAACAAAACGAAATACACTTATCGCCTTTACTTCAAGGTTTGTGATTAATCAAAAACTAGGTTTTCGCACTCCCATTCCACGTCCCTATAGAATAACGCATAGTATCTAAAAAAATACATATATGCAAGGGACAAATGGCTCAATTTAAATTGAAAACGAGCTTCAACTTGTTCAATGAGAGCGTTTGCATTACAGGGAGTGCTGGCCCAAAATAATGTGGTTCAAGTACTGTGAGACTGATTACCGTCCCTACTATGGTCCAGGGAGCACAGCTGTTGGACAGGATGTGACAGACCCTTGGGAAGACGATCGGCTGGGAGAGTAGGAGATTCGCAAGTAGCACTGAAGCTGAATCAAACGTCGCAAAATGCCCAAATAAAACCTTTACTGATACGTGTCAGACTTTATCTCACTTATTTCTATAACCTCTTCTAACGTGGTTAATGGAATGTGTTTTAGTTGACAAATACTTGTTACAAGTCGCAAACAACCTATGCTGCCACCGTCAATCAATAGGTCACAAGGTTTACTTATTTACATGGGGATTAGCGCGCGCCTGTATATCTATCATTCATGTTGCTGATTACAGATAGCAGTTTCCTTTCTCACCACAAATCCAACAACTACATTTCCATTGTTTCTATAGACCTTGTATTGCATGCTCCACTACACGTACACGTGCAGTTTACTATGGCAGTTTACATATTTCAATTGACCCATGGAGATCGGGGTTAGAATGGTCTTTACAACCCATGCCTGTAGTGAAAGGCGACTAACGGGATCGGGTGGTCAGGGTCGCTGAATTGGTTCGCATGTCATCGTATCCCAATTGCGTAGATCGATGCTCATGAAGTAGATCACTGGATCGTCTGGTCCAGACTTGATTTTTTACAGACTACCAACATTATAGTTGGAATATTGCTGAGTGCGGCATAAAACTAAGCTCATTCATTCACTCAACCACTGGATTGTCTGGTCCAGACTCATTTTTTACAGACCGCCGGCATACAACTCAGAAATTGCGGTACGGTGTTAAACAACAAAGAAATAAGACAAACAAAACATATTTACAGTATCTACCCCACATAAGTTTAAAGGAATTGGACTGGACTAAAGGCTTCGGTCAGCTGGCAGCCTCAGCAAAATTAAGTGTGAGTTTGTGTGTAAACACCTACCCTAGCAACGGTTACTACGATAACTACACAAACGATCCTTCACAACATGGCATCAATTACTAATTACCTAAGGCTTTGTGCATGCAAGCAGATTAGCGTATGTCTATCTCTAAACGAAATCAGAAGGATGATTTGACAGGAAGAAATCAGACTAACTTAACAACTAAAGTGTGATTTATGGAATTGGTGACTATATATGTAGCTAACACTACCAGGGATATCCTATGTGTAGCTTACTCTAACAGAGATCTCTACATGTGTTGCCAATCCCACTTCCATTAGGGGTCACTTTAATCTGTAGCTTACTCTAATACAGATCTCTACATGTGTTGCCAGTTCCTTTAGAGGTCACTACAATGTGTAGCTTACTCTAAGATAGATCTCTACATGTGTTGCCAGTCCCTTTAGAGGTCACTATAATGTGTA